CTCTCTCTCTCGTGGCAGCATAACGGCACTGTTGCCGTTTCAGAAAAATGTCCGCATTTATCTGAAACGACAACAGCTTTGCCGTTGCCTGTCCCTGGCCGCCCCCCCCCCCACAGTGCCCACACACGCCCAACGGCCCCTACCCACTTACACCTCGAAAAGGGCCGAAACGGCCCTACGGTGTTTTTTTTTTTGTTTTTTTTTTTTGGGTTTCGTTTTTTTTTTCCCGCACGACCCGCAATGTCAGACAGCGGAAAAAAAAATATGGGCGTGTAGGGCTTTTTTAGCCCTGCACGCCCATATTTTTTTATTTTTTTTTGTGCGCAAAATTATGCGAAAAAAAATCCTGCACCAAACTCGGCTGGTCGGCTGTGGCCGAACCCGGCCGATTCGGCCGACGGCCGCGGCCGCGGCCGGTTTTTCGGCCCCGGCCGTGACCGGCTGTGCAACATAGCATAGCTGCGCTACTGGCATGACTCCTAACCAACTGCATCTTGGTTGGAAGCCTAGAGCCGCCTGTAAGCTAGACTTTTTGCTACCTAAGGGTCAAACATCTGCAGCACCTGGCAACATAGAGTTTGCTTTAAAGTATGAACAGATGCTGCAACAGGCTGTAGATCACATAAAGAAAGCTCAGGATGCCATGGTTGCATCCGAGAACAAGCATGGACGGCCCTCACAAGTTCAGGTAGGAGAACGACTATGGGTTAAATCATCTTAACTGGGGCAGGAGTTGGAAATCTCCAGGAAGCTGATGCCACAGCATTTCGGTCCTTGGAGGTCCTAGACATAGTGGGGGATCAGATAGATGGACCTTCCTATGTTATTCACATTCCTGCTCACTTACGCACGCACCCAGTCTTTCACGCCTCAAAGCTGGCACCTTTGGCAGAGACTGCACGGTTTCCCTTCAGACCGTCAATGCTGCCCCCAACCATGGATAGCGAAGTCGACATCGATGAAATTGTGAAGCATGGGGTGATGCCAGTGCCTAAACCTCCCGGTAGAGGCCGACCTCCCAAGCCAACGATGGAGTACCGTGTCAGATTTAGACACCATACTGATCCCAGTGAAGATCAGTGGTTTACCAGAGAAGAGCTCCAGCAAACAGCACCTCGAGTGATTGCAGGCTACAAAAATGCACTCGAGGGGAAGATGCCTGCAGATTAGAAGACTTCTCATGGGAATATCGAAGTAAAGGAGGAGGGAATGCGAGGATGTGGCTCCTCAACAGGCCTAAGGGACCCCTGATGCAAGTGCGCCCGTCCTAAGTGGAAGCGGGCGTAACAAATCACGAGAGGCCCAAATGCTGTCAATTTCGTCTTTGGGGTTCATACAGTTGTGTCGCGTCAGTTCGTTGAGGGAACCCAGGACTCGAGCTGCAAAGAATTTCCAGGGCTTCCAGGCCTTTCTGAAATGCAGGCCCTGGGCAGGATTTGCAGGAACATACACAGACAGTTGGGAGGCCTAACTGAACGAGGCCCAGCAGCTGCAGCAGAGTCCCAGCCACCTGGGGCCTACCGGAAGCTTCTGGGTGCAGGCCCAGCCCAGCCAAGCCAAGCCGCAGGCCTGGCCATAACTCTTCCATTATGATATAGGAAAGAGCTTGTGGCCAGGCACAAAGATTCGGGCACTTGCAAGCTAGCGGCAGTGCTGCTGGAGCGGAGTCTCACGGGCTGCTGCTTGCGCTAAGGCAAGGTGCTGCGCATGTGCGGTCGTGTACGAGACAGGTTGCTGCTGAGGGCAGCGCCATAGCTCAGCCTCCATAGCTGGGTGGAACTTGGATATACAGCAAGCCACAGAGGGGGTCTTCGGGTGTACAGAGGGAAGATGTGGGTGAAAGTCGAGGGAGAGACAGAAGGATGATGATGATGATGATGATGATGATGATGATGTGAGGGCAAATACCTGGTACTGGCGATGATCTGCATTGGTCGACATCTTCAAGTACTTCGTTGGCTGCTGACGTCAACAGTTGCATTGTCAATTAGTAGACAGATAGTAGCTGCGGAGGGAGTAGGCTGGGTGCCGAGCCAAGTAGGGAGAAGGGCCGTGATACTGGCGAGAGCAAGCTCTCATTGACATTCTGTTTTCAGTGTTACAATTGTCCATTGGGGTTATATTTGTGCAATGCTGCTTTCTGGACACTGTGATATAGAATGGAGAAGAAAAAAAACAAAGCTGGAAACCGGGTCCAGCTGAAGTAGTCCCTTTTCGGACTGTTCCTCCCCAGACTTACTTTTTGTTTTTTTGTTTTTTTGTTTGTTTGATTCATTCATTGCTAGGCATTCAAGTGGCATTCAGGAGGTCGTGGGCTCAATTCCCCCCGCTTGGTGCCAACCAACTGAGATAGTGAGCTGGATTCTCCCAGTCGGTATTAGTAAGGTCTTCAGCCAGCCGGGGTGTGAGTGAGTGTGTGAGTGGGTTGCGTGTGGTGTGTGGGAGAGTGTTGGCTTCAGACACAACTGTTACTCGATGGGGTTGGGGGAAGATGAAAAGGGAGGCACAGTTACTGGCAAATGTTCGGTCGTTGTGTTAGCCTGGCCCCCACCGGCGGCCCCAACCCTGCACCGAAATGCTAGGGCAAAGGGGCAAACATGCCACTACCACTCTCCACCGAGAAAAGTAACCGCCCTTCACCGAACAGAGGTAGAAAGCTATGCTTGCAGGGGTCCCCTGTATAGCCTTAGGAGTAGTGGTAGGTTCTGAAAATAAAGATGTGTTCCATGACATGGCAGAACCCCAGTTAAAAGATAGGTGAGGTGAGAGAAAAATATGTGGCTGTCCCCCGATGAGGACAAGGCAATTTTTTAAAAAAAAAAAAGGGGGGGGGGGAAACATGGCGCCGCGCCCCCCCGCATAAAGGCGGGTGGGCGGGTGCTGGGAGCCTTACCCAGCTTCGCTTTTTACGGGACCTTCTGGGACCCGAATAAGGAAAAAACAAACAGGAAATTCGACCCAAAAAAAACAGAAACTCACTGAGAACCTACCTTCTACGCCAAACCAAGCAAAAAAACAACCCAAAAACCAAACCCGGAACTTCCAAGACCAAAAACAAAAGGGATACCAACTCCTAAACCTGCATTGGTATTCTACCTACTTATACACTCAAAAGGAGGAGAAGAACGAGGGAAGAGGGGGAAGAGACACTTCCTTTTCTGTCGTTCCCTGCTCACTTTGGGTATGTCCGTTGAAGTTCAACTTCGTGCGCGCAACCTCCCCAAGGCAATCAGAACACGGCCACAGAAAGGTAAGTGCCGATAAGCAGGGAGCACAGAAACTATCGGAGTACCTAAAGGACAAAGATAGGTGGAAGACGCCCAATACTCGGGCAAAAGCAGAAAGAAAACCTCATCCGAAAAGCCGGAGAGCTGCAATAATCAGAATTCTCAGATTTTGACCTGCAACTATATACCCTGTTTCGCCCTTTCCTCGTCAGAATCGTATGTGCCTACATTTCTCGAGCGAGATAGATAGGCTTACGTAAGAGGAGAGGAGTGCGCACTTTCTCACCCACGCCCGAACGTGATCCCCGTCCGTCTCGTTACAGTCCACACGGAATTAATTGACCATTGGTCATGGCCAAGCTATGACAGGCGAGTTACGAGGGACAAAGCAACGCGTTCCAACTCGTTGTCTCGTCATGACTTAGGAATTGGGACTCTACGTATGAAAATCAGCTGGATATACTTTCAACCTCATATTTGAGATTCGCCCGGAGTGCGAGCACCGTTCACTTACCCTTTTCGTTTGCTCCTACGTTTCTTCTTTCTGGGATATTGCTATACACAGGTTATCTCAAGCTCCGAGGGGAATATCCTGGATGACGAAACAGCTATCGACGTTATATCGTCATCGAAGGCGTTATCGGTGGAGATAGCAGATAAGCAGAAGATTGCCGAGAGGACTGAAGCGAAAATCGACGATGCAAGAAAAGGTTATCTCCCTGTCGCTCAGCACGGTGCGGCGCTGTTCTTTGTAATCTCTCACTTAGCGGTCATTGCGCCCATGTACCAGTATTCTCTCACATGGTACATATCGCTCTTCCTGGCATCCGTGGCCCGCTCGGAGCGCTCCAGCGATCTCTCAGTCCGAATTAATAATTTGAATGGACACTTCACCTACGCTCTGTACTGCCAAGTCTGTCGCTCGCTGTTCGCAAATGACAAGCTCCTCTTCTCCCTCCTCCTAACTATGACTGTGCTTGAGAGGCAGGGGAAGGTAAGCAAGGCCGACTTTCGATTCTTGGTAGGTGGAGGAGGGATGGCAAGCGGCGCGGACAAGAGAGGCAGATACGGCAAAGGAGTCGCGCCATTGCAGGGCAGAATCAATGCAGCTAACGAAGGGATGCACGACGAGAAAAAGGAACGAGGAGAAGAATCAGGTAAAAGCGCTTCGACTGCTGCTTCTGCTGGTGACAGGGGTGCCGAAGGACCTACAATGGTCAATCCTGCCTCAACGTGGTTGGCGGATCGCCTATGGTTAGAAGCTCAACAGTTGTCGACGATATTCCCTTCTCTTTCGTCGTTAGCCGCTGCCATTGCCTCCAGTCCTGATCAGTGGAAAGCCCTCTACGACAGCTCCAACCCCCACAAGATGGCCCTACCCACGGTCACGATCACTGTCAACGGAGGCGGTAGCGCAAGCGGGGGAGTGTTCCTTGGGGAGAAGTTGAGCAAGCTCGAGCGGCTTCTCGTCCTTCGCGTCATTCGCCCGGATAAGCTGGTAGCAGGGCTAATCCTGTTCATTATGGAGACAATGGGTCAGAAATACATCGAGCCGCCACCGTTCGATCTGAATCAATCCTTCAGTGAATCTACTTCCACCACCCCTTTGGTGTTTGTTTTGTCGGCCGGCACCGACCCGATGGCGCTGCTGCTCCGTTTTGCCGAGTCCTCGCGGCATCCCATCCTGTCGATTTCCTTGGGCCAAGGTCAAGGTCCCAAAGCTGCAGCAATGATCGGCGATGCTGTGAACAGTGGTTCCTGGGTCGTACTGCAAAACTGCCACCTGGCAGTAAGCTGGATGCCAACACTCGAGAGGATCTGCGAAGGCATTGTGTCCGAGAAGACGAACGCAGGGTTTCGGCTATGGCTCACTTCTTACCCCAGTGATCATTTTCCCGTGACCATCCTTCAGAACAGCGTCAAGATGACCAACGAGCCCCCCAAGGGAATGCGTGCCAACATGCTGCAGTCGTACTGGAGTGATCCAATTTCGGACGAGAGATTCTTCTGCGGCTGTACCGATAGGGGACCGGTTTGGCGCAAACTTCTCTTTGGGCTTTGCTTTTTCCATGCGTTCGTTTTAGAGCGCCGAAAATTCGGGCCCCTGGGTTGGAACATCCCGTATCAGTTTACTGAATCGGACCAGAAAATTAGCGTCACGCAGCTGCAGATGTTCCTGAATGAGTTTCCGGAGACGCTTCCCTTCTCCGCGCTGCTCTACCTAACGGGCGAGTGCAACTACGGGGGTCGTGTGACAGACGCGCATGACAGGAGAACCTTAATGTCCATCCTGTCAATTGTCTACACACCGCACATCCTTGACGACTTGTACCGGTTTTCCCCCTCAGGCATCTACTACGCCCCGCCGGACGGCGATTATCAGTCGTACCTGGAACACATAAAGACCTTCCCTCATGTTGATCAACCGGAGGTCTTTGGTCTGCACGAGAACGCGGACATTATCAAGGACCAAAAGGAGGCGAACGAACTTTTCACGTCCATATTGGCAATTCTCATGCAAAGCCAGGGGGTCGAGGCGGAGGAGCACGAGGCAGAAAGGACGCCACCGAGCGACTCTGCCTCGTTCTCCACTCTGGGATCGGCAACAGCTGCATCAACCGTTACGACAAGGGAGCAAAGGCTAACCGACTTGGCTGCTGACATACTAAATCGCATCCCTCCTCCCTTCAATATCGAGCTAGTCTCTTTCTTGTTCCCAGTTCGCTACGAGGAGAGTATGAATTCAGTCCTTTGCCAAGAGATGGTGCGATTCAATCGCCTCACAGATGTCATCCGATCATCATTATTGTCCTTGCAAAAGGGCCTGAAAGGGTTAGTTGTTATGTCGGCGGACCTAGAGCGGCTGGGCAACTCCATGTACCTGGGACAGCTGCCTGCTGCATGGGCAAGCCGATCATATCCCTCGCTTAAGCCACTCGGAAGCTACGTCGATGATCTCATTCATCGGCTAAATATGTTGGCAACCTGGATGTCAGAGGGGGGGCCACCCACGTTCTGGATAAGCGGCTTCTATTTCCCGCACGCATTTCTTACCGGAGTTCTACAGAACTATGCCCGCAAGCACGCTATCCCGATTGACACCATCGCCTTCGAGTTTGAGTGCATGAAAGATCCTCCTGATCTTTCTCCGGATGAATTACCCAAGCCTCATTTCAACCCGCCGGACAAGAAGGGCCATTATTATAGAACAAGACCAGAAGACGGTGCCTACGTGGCCGGAATGTTCATTGAAGGCGCAGGGTGGGATGCCAATCACATGCAACTCGCAGAGTCTACACCCAAGGTATTGCATTGGCCCGCTCCTGTCATCTGGTTTAGACCATGCCAGGTCCACAAGCGCCGAGAATACGCCAATTATGCTTGCCCGGTCTACAGAACTGCTGAAAGAAGAGGGGTGCTCGCGACTACGGGCCATTCATCCAATTTTGTAATAGACGTCCTCCTTCCAACTCAAATGCCACCGGATCACTGGATCCGAAGAGGCGTAGCGATGATTCTTTCCTTGAGCGAGTAGCAAACAATCTCCGGTTCCAGATTGAACGCAATTTTGCTTCGTCAACGCCATAAACATCAAGTGGAAAAACTTTCACGACCATAGTTTCCTGGTCTATGTTGGAAACTAAGACGCTAGACGGGTTTTGTTTTGGACTTCTACTCCGAGCCTCAACCCTGCCTCCCTTTCTCGATGACATATGCAAAACGGGAGTGGGCTTTAAGAGGCTGTTTGCAATCTTATAAATTGACAAGTTTTAATTATCCATTCGATTGAGACAGAAAGGGCATGCATAAGTGACTCTAAATCAATAACATAGCATACCAATTGCACAAACTATATGGTTAAGAAATCATAGTGCATAGCAATCGTCAAACTTCATGAAACTCTCGTGAGCAGCAAATTGATCAGGCAGCATGCCCAAGGACGGAGGAGCGGAAAAGAGTAAGGAGTGAAAGAAAGAAGAGGAAAGGGGAGGAAAGAGGAGGAAAGAAGAGGAAAGAAGGGGAGAAACAAAGAAGAAGGGGAAAGGATATGCGAGGATGTGTTATGAAAAGTGTTTATCCAAAGGTGCAGTGACAAGTACATCAAGAAAGAGATAGCATAATCTCTGGCCAGAAACCAGCCTAGCCCCGTCGGCTAGCTCATTAGGTTTTCATGCCTGACCGGCACCGCGTAGCTGCTGGGTTCTATTCTGTTGCTGTCACTTTCAGTGGCCTGAGAAGGATTGGCGGCCACGGCCAGTCAACACTGGTAACTCGCCGGGGCGAGTTGTGTCAACACTGGTAACTCGCCGGGGCGAGTTGTGCCGCCCTGTAACCCGTTGCAATGCAGAAGCATCATGCCTGAGCGGCACCGCGTAGCTGCTGGGTTCTATTCCGTTGCTGTCACTTTCAGTGGCCTGAGAAGGATTGGCGGCCACAGCCAGTCAACACTGGTAACTCGCCGGGGCGAGTTGTGCCGTCCTGTAACCCGTTGCAATGCAGAAGCATCAGGCCAAGTGGAAGTGGCTGCTCAGGTCCTGCGGACACACCCAATACACATCCAATAAAAGAGCTCTCAGATTGAGTTCTCAGTCAGAATCATCATAGCTGACATTCATAATTACGATGCATATCAGGGTTGACACCCTCAATTTCACAATATTTCCAGAGGATTTAAAAAAACTCTAAACATACCTGTCACAACATAAGCTCAATAAGGAAGCTCAATAAGTCATGGTCATGACATATAATGACAATAATAACTTCCATAACAATGTCGAATTACCCGGGGCAGGTCACCTGTGGATATAGCTCAAAACACAGGATTCATGAAAATCAGAGATAACAAAATGGTGGGTTTTCACGAAATTTCTCTAGAGTTCAAGAAGTGTGTGTTTCAAGCGCATTTGGAGCATCGTCATTCCACATGATCGAAAAAGAAACAAAAATGCAAGGGAAAAAGGCGTTCACGAGAACTCCGTTATGAAGCGAGCGCGAAGCGGGTCTTTTTAACCACATTCCCAGCCAGCAAATGCACATCGATTTCTAAGAAGTTAGTAAGAACCAAAACATCACAAAATTTACACATCTTTTTCCCCTTAGGAAGATCCTTTTCTTTTACTTGGCGGAAATAGTTAGAAACACATGCTTAAACATTACACAGAGAGTCGTAAATCATTTGGTGTTCAAATCAAAGATCTTTAGGAAACCTTACTTTAGTCCCAAATTGTCGATTTTTTAAACCACAGCTCTTTAGGCATGCTGACTGTTAAGACTTATAGCCCTATACCACCGATGTGAAGATAACAGATCTTTAGGCTTGCGGACTGTCAAGACATATAGTCCTACATCACTAAAATGTTGAGATGACAGATCTGAAGGCATGCTGACTGTCAAGACTTGTAGCCCTTCACCACCGATGTCGAGATAACAAATCTTTAGGCATGCTGACTGTCAAGACTTTTAGTCCTTTATCACTGATGTTGAGATAGCAGATCTTAAGGCATGGTGTGTAGCGGACCTCGGGATGGCCTGTGAGACCAGCCCCTTGGCCTGTTCTCACAGGCCTGTGTTATATTTGGGGTAGGCCAGTCCAGGCCAGTACCTCTGTCGGTACCAGCCAGTCCAGTCCAGTCCCGTCAGTCCGCTGGGGTATACCCCAGCCATTGTCTGTTTTCATTCTCATTCCTCACTTGCACATTTTGGAGTACGTGCGTTGGAGTCTTGCGTGGGGAGCTGCGTTGTGCCATCTTGCTCCCTCATCTCCGTCACTAGCGGAGCACCACACCTGGTGGGTCCGCTACATGGTGGCTGTCAAGACTTATAGTCCTATATCACTGATATTGAGATGACAGATCTTAAGGCATGCTGACTAACAAGACTTATATTCCTATATCGCTGATGTTTAGATGACAGGTCGTAAGGTATGCTGACTAACAAGACTTATAGTCCTACATCACTGATGTTCTGTGTATCACCCGCGGTTGCGATCTCGGGCCATTTTACCGCTCGGGCGGCAGCCGACCGCCCGCGGGCCATTTTACATACTATTTTCCTTTTTCTAAAAAATGTATTTTTTTAAAAAAGTTAAAAGCGTCATGTTTCGTTTTCCATTTGTGGAGAACAGTACCGTTACCACTTGTGGTCTGTCAGCCTCTAGTACCGAGCGGCCGACGAACAAAACAAAGAGCGTCATCTGAGGTAGCAACAGTCGTTTGGTCCTCGGTGTGAGGTCGTGTGTGTCGTTTTGCCGACAACAGGTAGTTTGGAATTACATGGTGGCGGTGGTTCCCCGTCGTAGGACGCTTGGCCGGCCATGGTCTCCATGGCAAGTGGCTTCCCTCGCGTCCCGACCTCCCCTTTGTCAGTGTGTGTATACGCTTGAGCGCGCGTGTGTATGTGTGTGCCACAGATGACGGTCAATCGTCAAGTGCTAGTACATCTCATCCCCGCTGCCGATTGGCTGCCGAACCAGCGAGTCTTCAACGAGACTCTCTCGCACTCTCTCTCTCTCTTTCTCTCTCACTCAAAAGACACACTATGTAATTTTTTCTCATTTTCTTGCTGTTGGTTTTTCGTTTTAGGTTTTGTTGTTTTTTCTTTCTCCTTCCGGGCTGATATCTCTTCATGAAGGTGACGTGGTCCTTTTGATCCACGTCACTTTCTTGCGGCCCGCCGCTGTCGTTCCGTCTTCTCTCTCTCTCTCTCTCTCTCTCTCTCTCTCTCTCTCTCTCTCTCTCTCTCTCTCTCTCTCTCTCTCTCTCTCTCTCTCTCTCTCTC